AATCTAACAAGTTGAACAAATAATTCATAATCTCAATGACTAGATATCTAGTCAATCACCGGTTTGAGTTTAATAATATTATCTTTTGACAAAATTATAAATCCTTTTAAACCCACAATAAATATCATATTGATATTCTTAAAAACATTAAACTTTAATAATGAAGGGATTTGCATTCATCATGCAACATGATCACAAAAAATTTTCTACACACAGAACAATTTGTGGGGCCCACATTTTTTGAAGCAAAAAAAAAAAAAAACTGCGACACGGAAAACAAATCTCTATAACATAACACAATCATTTTTCATACAACATAACTTTTATAAAACCTAATAATGAAATACCAACATCAAGTCTGATTCAAACATTGCATAGACTTGAATATTCCGTGCATTTTTTTGTTCTTTTTCCCCAACATATCATCAATAAATTAAAGGGTTATGTTTATCTCATTTTACATGAGATAAATAACTTTCCTACACACGCAAAATGGTTGGATTCCAACACTCTTTTTTCTTTCTCCTCTTACTTGTGGGTCCTACTTGTAATTTTATTTCTACAACATGAGGTAACTATTTTCCTACGACATAAGAAAAATATTTTCTATTTAATTTTGGCTAAAAGGAAATTTGTAGTAATAAACTAAGGAAAATCATTTGCTCACGCAATAAGAGATGATTTTCTCATAAGACATTGAAATCTATACTATTCTTTTTTTTTTAACAAATGGTGGATCTCATGTCTATGATATAAGAAATGCTATCCCATGTTACATGAAAAAAGAGAAGCCCATAAACTAATAATCACCATCATGCATTCATTTAGACTTGATTCATTAATATAATAAAAAAATGTACGTATATTCAAGCACCCGAGTTTTTAGCAATACCGTTAAATTAAATTTGATATAATTTAAAATTTCTTTCCTTGGATCAAGCACGAGAATGGAGTTGAAAATACAAACAAAATGTTGTTTCCAATGGTCATTTTAAGTTATTTAAGCCGAATCATATTTCATTTAAATTTGTTGAACTTCAAAGTTCAAACACCTAATGTCATACTTAAGCTTACCTTTAATTTTACACATTCTTAAGTTGTAAAAAAGTACTTGATTTTACACATTCTTAATCGGTTTTTGAAAACCAATTTCCTAACTAATGATTTTAGTTAACTTTACCTTGCTAATATATCTTAATAATTTTATATTATAATAATTAATAGAAAAAACTTCAAAAATCTCCCTATAACTTTCCTCGTAATCATTTACCCTCTTCCCAAAATTTTGAATCATTTACTCCCCTGACTTAATGTTCTTTTTATCATTTACCCCCTTAAGTGAGGGAGTAAGTGATAAAAAAAACTTAAAATCAGGAGAATAAGTGATAAAAAAAAACTTAAATAAGGAGATAAATGATTCAAAAAATTTATGAGAGGAATAAGGGATAATTAAGAAAACTTATAAGGAGATTTTTAAAGTTTTCCCTAATTAATATTTATGTGTTAAATACACTACAATTTTGTTTTAATTGCGCTAGTAAAATTATCCCGTTATCATAGTCTAGTGTTATGACCCATATTTATGTTGTAATCCAAAAAGACCAAAATGAGATAAAAGAAATATCGAACAAAACAGTATAAACTATACCAAAACCAAAGTCATATATGCTTAAAATATCCTAATTATGGTAACAACCCTGAAGACAGTTTTATTATAATAATACAATTAAATATAATAACAGAACTTTATGAAACTGTATTTCAAATACAATTACGGTATTAAACTTAAAACATATCAACGGCTAAAATATAAATTTTTTTTAAAAAATAGAACTTAATAATAATCTAGAAAGGAAGTCAGTTTCTACAAAACTTTCTACAGACTTCTCAATGTTTAATATATGGGTTTTATAATTCTCATGTTGAAGGAGAATTGAAATCTCATGTTGTAGAGATAAAAAGCATGTGGGATCCATGTGTTAGAAAAAATTATATGTAGGACTATCGAAGGGTGTGTAGGAAAATTGTAATTCTCATGTTAAATGAGAATTATAAAATCCTTAATATATATATATGGGAAAGACTTTTCTCCTTTCACATGAGACAAGATTTCATTCATACACATACATCGACTTCCGTGCCAAGCTTTTGTTTTTGTTTTTACCTCTCTCTTTTAAATTGCTAGTTCCACTTTTTTGTCTCAGTAGGAGACAACTCTTCTCTCCTGTTAAACAAGAAAAGTATTCCCCTATATATATATATATATATAGTAATGACCCGTCTACAAACTTTTTTTTTTACAAATTATATTGTGTACTCCCAGAAGTACATAGTTTAACTAGTGTACTTCCGAAAGCATATAGTGTAGTTTATAAGAGTTTATAAATAAAAAAATTGTATATATATATATAGAGGTAGGATCCTTTGACACCAGTGTCAAATTTAAAGTTTGACACCTCACCTGAGAGCCGTTAGATCAAAAAAGATCAATGTGACAAATCAGAGTCGCTGATCTTTTTTGATCTAACGGCTCTCAGGTGAAGTGTCAAACTTCAAATTTGACACTGGTGTCAAAGGATCCTGCCTCATATATATATATATGAGATTAATATTTCTCATATTGTAAAAGATCATTTTATCTGTCATACATTCACATAAAAATGTGCAAGGCCTATTTTTTCTTTTTTTTCTATCTTCTTTTCATATAACCCCACACACTTTTATATGTGTTAGAAAAAAAATTATCTCGTATAAAATGAGAAACATAAATCCATATATATATATATATATATATATATATATATATATATATATATATATATATAAGAAAATATAATTGCCCTACATCAGAAAAATTGATCCCTCGTGTCATAGAGACATAAACCCTATGAAGCACCGACACTTCAAAAATCCTGATGTGTCGTGTCCGACACTTCCCAACACTCACCAACACTCCAACACTTCCCGACACTCCAATACTCATTTCAAAGACTCAAAAAAGGTTCAAAGATTATGTTGCGTTGTATTTTGAGTTCCAACTATTATATTCATTAGATTACAATTACGATTTTATTGAGTTTAATATAAACATTTGAGATATATTATGTTTCTTTGTAAAACTGATGGATATTATAAGTTTAGCTTTATTTTTTATTAAATTATTGAATACTAAATATAATATACACTACATAAATTAAAAATATTATATAATATCAAAACGTGTCCTAACGTGTCAAAATTTAATATTTTTTAGAATTAACGTGTCAGAGTGTCGTATCGTATCCCGTGTCAGTGTCGGTGCAATATAGCATAGACCCATTGATTTCTGTGCTTGATCTTTTCTTTCTTTTTTTAAACGTTAGCCCCACTTAATCTTTTCAACGCAGGAATCTTCTTCCCATCATGCAACATGATATTCGACAAGCCCATAATTTTTTTTCTATACACTAATTTTTTTTCCTTTTATCGATACAGTGGGACCCACAATGTTTATGTGTATATAACATGACACAATAAATGTCCTACAACATCATATATATATATAAAGTCAGGATCATTTTATACCAGTGTAAGTTACACTCTCAATCTTGTCCATTGATCCCACTTATATCTAAAGGCTTTAATTTTTTAGTAATGTGAGCCATTGAATACAAGTGGATCAATGGTCAAGATTAAGTGTAATACTTCTAACTCTTACACCAGTGTAAGAATAACCTGCCCTATATATATATGTGTGTGTGTGTGTGTGTGAAAAACTTCTTATATTACATGAGAAGAATTTCTTCTTCTACAGACATAACAAACATGTCCTATTGAAAAGAGGAAAGAAATAAAAATTTAATGACACCCACATGTTTGTTGTATGTGTAGGAGAAGAATTTGTTGTGTGTAGAAGAAGAAATTCTTCTCATATAACATTTCTTCTCCTACAAACATGTGCATCCTATTGAAAAGAGGAAAGAAATAAAAATTTAATGGCACCAATGTGTTTATTATGTGTGTAGGAGAAGAATTTATTGTGTGTAGGAAAAAAAATTCTTCTCATGTAACATGAGAAGTCTTTAACCTCCCTCCCTCCCTCTCTCTCTCTCTCTCTCTCTCTATATATATATATATATATATATATATATATATATATAGGGGCAGGACATTCTTACACCGGTGTAAGAATTAAAAATCTTACACTTAATCTTAACCATTTATCCACTTGTATCCAATAGCTCACATTACTAAAAAATTTGAGCCGTTAGATATAAATGGAATCAATGAATAAGATTGAGAGTGTAACTTATACTGGTGTAAAATGATCCTGATATATATATATATATATATATATATAGGCCAAGCTTTTTTATACTAGTGTAAGACTAACAAGTCTTACACCACATCTCAACCATTAATGGACGAAAATCACCATTTGGTATTTGTAATGTAATTAATAATTAATTAATATTAATTAATTTGTATAACTTCTTAAATTATAACCTTTGGATGCACAAAAATCAACGGTTACAATATTGATATTAACATATTTATAAACGCATTGCTATTTATCATGAAATTTTTTTACGTTTCTAACTAAAAAAATTAACTTTTCTTTTAAAAAAGAAAATCATAATTAAATATGCCATATAACTTTCAATAAAATATACTTAGGTACTAATAAACTTGTGCTTGTAACCATATTATGGAAGGTCTAACCAATTTCTTAATCGTTCGCATTCAGTTTTCAATTTTACACACGAGATTTTGTGTATCAATAAGCATATTAACTGAGCATTAAACATTTAAGATGCACGCGATCAACATACCTAGAAGACAACCAACCGAGCATCTTGGTAATCTTATTCACTAGGCTATCTTGGTTATCTTCAGCGAGATATATATGCACCCAAACACCTTAAAGTGGCATTTGGTAGAGGAGAAATTTTTTTTTGTCCGAAAATCTCAATTTTCAAAAATATAATTTTTATATTCAGTTTACGATAATATCCAAAAATTTAAAATTTAAAAAAAAATCAGTTTTCCGAAAATCCTAGAAAAAGCCACGTACCAAACAGTCCCTAAATGCTTCACCAAAGAATCTTGCTAGAAAACAGATCTCTATAAACTCTGTTCTCTGAAGTAGCAAATTATATCATGCCTCTTTCTGGATAAATCTAGATTTTTGGAGCTCATTCCTACATCACATTTACACAGGAAAAACTATCGGGTTTGTGGCCCTTTCACCAATGAAACATAGCTGAGGCTGCCCAAGGGAAATACAGTCTTTTCTGAATATTTCACTAGCCATCATATCCCCCAGTTATCTAAGCTAATAGACAGGGGCATATTAACTTGACGGATACCTACATAGCACATACCCAAGTGTATGTACATACCAGGTTAACGGATGCTCTTGAATAACCAAAAAATAATAGAATAATAAGTTAATTGGGAAACACAAAGTAAAAAGCTACCATAAATTAGACACCAGGTTCATAATAAGTTTAGCAGTCGTTTACCACCAGAGTAATTGGATACATGTACCAAAATTATCCATTTTCAAGAATTGCTAAAAATGAAATGATACTTTGGTTTAGCCTGTTAATGATTTGTGCATTTCAAGGGCTCTAATAAGGATTGTAACCAGAGGGAACAAATAAAATTGCATGAGTGGACTAATGACCCATGAACATTCTCGGCGCCCAAAAAGATGATGTATAAAAAAACCATCAACGTGATGATGAGCATAAAACCTAAATGGCTTATGTAAACCAGCTCACCTCTTACCACGAGATCCAGGTCCAGATCTTGGACCAGGATACCGAGAAAACTGAAGCCGCAAGTGACTAGACTCAGGGTTGAGTTCATCGACTTTATAACCTGTCCCACAATCACAATGTCAGCAAACACCAAGATGTTTGGGTATGTAATATGTGAAAATCATTAAACACTGAGTTCATGAATAAATTTAATGAATGAATATGATAATCACAAACATGGCTGTTAGCTTGCCAACCATGGGAGTACAGCAGACTACAATAAGCATAAACATGGCTGGTAGTATGAGCCTTGCATTCTAGTTGAACGTTTAAAATTGAATCCTTATTCATTTTTCTTTCTTGTCTAGTCATTTGTTTAGTAATCTAATTGAACTTAAATCTCCTTTAACGGCAAAACTGATTACACCAAACAAAAGGCTGACCTGTTTTTTATACAATTTAAAATCAAGTCCACTGAAAGGAGAGCAACAAGGTAAAACTCCTCTAACTATCCTACTTCAGGTGATTAAACGGATAATTGACATGATATTGATGATAGTGACGGTGATAATGCTTTTGTTGAGATTATAGGATTTAGGTAGAGAATGATGAAACAAAAAGAGAACAAACTCTGAATAACAAAATATAAGATTAATATATGGTGATATGATACATAATTATAACAATGCTTACTTAATTTTTTTTCTTTCATATTGATACATAATTATCTTAAAAACAGTGCAACTTAATTTATCCAGAAAGAACCAAAAAACTAAGTGCTCTGTATTTCACAACCTTCATCAAGATGTTGTCTCGTATTAGGGTGAAAAAATTATATAATTTATACGCAACCAAAACACAAAACTAAATTCCTTTCATATCTGCAGGTAACTAGACATGATACCTTGCAAGGCACTCAAAGCAGTTGCTGCACAAGCTGGACTTGCAAAGTCCACAAAACAAAGGATCAGAGGATCTCCACCACGCTGCAATGAACAGGCATTTCAGCATAAAGAGAATGTTGTAACTTTCAACCAATCAACTAGATAATTAAAAGAGAACAAGCAGACATCTGTTACAACTAGTACACTTACATGTTTAGATTCTTTACTCACTAGTCTCACTTCTCTATATCCAACAAAAGGGCGGAAAATATCTAAAGAAGATATTAAGGAGAATGAATAAATGAATTAAAATAAAGGCTCCTCAGGAGACATAGGTGAAGGAAAGACCATACAATTGCTAAGCAGTGCATCAGAACAAAAAGGATACGAGCCACTTCCCTTTTAGTGCTATCAGCAGGGAGACCTTCAACATATAAAGTACTTGAAGCATCTGGAGGTAGAGGTACTGCCTCAGGTCCAGGCCTGGAAACTGCATCTACTGGTAGCTGACCACCATAATTAACACCCCGTCCATTTGGAGTGAGATCAGGACCACCACCCCCATGACGCCCCATGACAGCAGGATCAGCAAGCGAATGGCCTGGTAATCCACCAACACCCCTTGCCAATCCAAGACCACCAATCGTACTGGCTTCCCCAGAAGCAAATGAAGAAAGTTGCTTCAAAACCAAACAAGATGCATGTTTTAAGCAAACAACCAATGTAAGTGGCCAAAAAATAAACAGTAATATATTTATGCAAACATAACAAGAAGAAATGTTACCCCACTCTGAAGGTATCGGTCATAAGCAGATCCAATTGTTTTAGTGTCCTTTAGCATTCGGTGACCAGTACGGTCCTCATCACGAGCAATATAATTACGCATCTCGTTACCCAAAGACAGACCAGAAGCTGGCATCTCTGCAATGCAAAATATTAATAATAATAATTAATAAAAAATTATACTGTTACAACTCATTTCCCTAGCAAAGTGCACTAGCACTGAAAAACACAGCATATTGAAAAAGTTTCCATCTCTTATATCATGTATATGTTATTACTATTCATGCACTGGTAAACACTGAATATAATAGAAGACTGCATGTTTAGTGTAGCTTTGGGAACCCCGAAACCAAGGTTTGGGGCTTTCCAAAAGCTAAATGGTACCACACAATCACACATGCCTATTGCCAAGTATCAAACAAATAAGCCAACACTAGTAAAACTCAGATTACTGAGCAAATGCCCCATAATGCAAGGAGAAAATAAAAAAAGGAAGAGTAGGCTACTAGTTAAACCTTCCCCAATGGCAAACTTACCACTGGAACTAAACATATTGTGCAGACAACTATCAATATATCAGTACAAGACAAATAACAGAAGAATGCCATTGTTTTTCAACTCATGCCCCATTATAGAATACAAAAATCCAATGTTATAAAAAGAATTAAGAAATCAAGGATGGCATGAACAGAAAATGTTTAAAAATAAAACTTTCAAAGAATGAAAATGATAAATTCCACATATCAGCACTTCCACAAAATCACATCATACACTGGATCTAATTAACTTCTTCCACAAAATCAAATCAATTTAGATGTTTCTCCTGTAGTGAATGAGGTGGTAGAATATGCTAGAAGAAGAATTAACGGTTTGATTTTCAATTGGACTTTGAATAAGCATATAAAGTATTTTAAGTACTTTTATTTATGGATGACCATTGACGACCCCCAATTTTCAGGATTGAATCTTCTCGCTGCTATCAGCCATTGTTGTATCTAATTGAAAATTACAGCTTAGAAATGCCAACAAAAGGCAAAATAACTACCTTTTTTTTGTAAAAACTATGCAAATAAGAACTCAAAAGCATAGAAATGGGAATACCACAGCCCAGAAACATCATCTAGTTTCCTCATTTGTCAAACTAGTTAAGCTTATAATTATGCCTCTGTTCTAAAAGCACAAATACACTAAAACTCCACATTATCCTTGGCGTTTTTCAAATATTTGAAAGGGAAACAAATTTAAGATATTTACATTGCAGAAAAATTAATTAATCCATCACATTATGTTCAACCCATAAATCCTTGAAAACACTAGGAAATTACATAAGGCCATCTATATAGATGTTAGAAAAATATCACACACCAGTGAATCTGTTGGGTTCCATTTGCAAAATATGGGTCTTGGAGTCCCACTCCCACATTGGTTGTATGGGCAACTAATGTGGGGTTTATAAGGCTTTGGGCACTCCCACCCTTTGAGCTAGCTTTTAGGGTGGTGCATCCCAAAATCTCCTCAAATGGTATCAGAGCATCCATCATGTGGAGTTGTGCGTGGGGGCACGCACTAGGGAAGCGTGGTGGAATGTTGGGTTTCATTAGCAAGGTATGGGACTTGGCGTCCCACATGAGTTGTATGGGTAACTAATCTATAGTTTATAAGACCTTGGACACTCTCACCCTTTGAGCTAGTTTTTGAGGTGGTGCATTCCAAGGTCTCATCAGAATCCCACTATCAATGTAGTTATTAAGACAATAAGAACCAATACCCCTAACATCAAACCCTAACTTTGAATGGCAAAATAATCTAAATTTATAAAACCATTGGAAGCATTAGCGAATTCAGCTCAATCTACATGACATCATGTTAGCCCCACCAAATAGATTGCAGAAAATGATAATCTTTAATTAGAAGTACTGCCCTATGACAAAAGCATAAAAACACTGTCTGGAATAATTCTTCAAGTGAGAATGCCAAAAAGGGTCAGAATCAGATCAGGGTTTGTCCACAGATCATATCTTTTCAACACGAGTTCCAAAAGAAGGAAAAGGAATTTCCTGTTAGTAACAGCTAAATCCATCCCAAACACTACGTGGAATATTTCTTCAAGAGAAAATGAATAGCATTGACAGACAAACCATCACTTTACCACCAGGAACATACACTAGGTTACAAAAGAGCATAATCAAGTGCGGAAAACCTATGATGAACACAAAATAAAATAAAAAAAGAATAGAAGTAAAAAAGAGAGGATTAGCCATCTTCCTAAGGGTAAGTTTGCGTGGACGGGTTTGGAGAGGAAGTGGTGATATTTCATTTTAAAATCATTCTCCTTATTTGAGAACTTTTTGAAATTAGAGATGATCATGTAACCTTGCAATCATTCCTTATTCATATCTATAAAAAATTTATAACTTTTTTAAATTTACAAATGAACAATTACCCCTCCCCCTCCCTCTACGCTCCTCAATTCAAAATTATCCTAAAAGCAAAGAAAAAATAAACAAAAATATGAATAAAAAGAAGAAGAAAGAGAGGCATCAATTTGCATTAAAAAACAAAAACACTAAATAAAAAACCCTATAATACGAAGTATCTCGTTCTTCTAAAAAAAAGAAAAAGAAAGAATTTAGTAAATTCGACAGAACACAAATTGACCACATTCACAACTCAACCTGTCAGCATACTATATATCTAAATAAGAACCCAATAAAACCAGGCAACAATCACAAACGGCATATCCATTAAACGAAAACAGAACAACCCAAAACGGGATCCCTAAGCAGCGAGGACAAGCATAATACCATCCATTTAAGGCCCAATCAAAATTGCTAATACCAACAACACAAAAATAAAAAAAAATAAAAAAAATTGCAAGATTTCAGAAACCATAAAAGAAACAGATTGAAAATTGCACGAAACAAGCTACAAAAAAAATTATCAAAGAACGAACCATAATCGGAACGGGGTCGTTTAAGCATGCCAGAGTGGGGGAGAAGCGCCTGCTGCCGGTTCCAGTAGCCATCCGCCATGGCGAGAGTTTGAGAAGAAAGGGGAAATGAGAAACCCTAATTTTGGGAGTTGAAATTGGAGGATGGCAGAAACCCTAGGTGGTGGCTTTTTGCCGTTGTTGTTGCCGTAGCTATTACTCACTCAGAATCTTTACTGATACCTTCTTCTGCACGACCTTGAGGGGAATGAAAATGGTCGTGTTAAATTTCCATGTGTTTTGTTTTTACGGAGATTATAGTTATTATATTTTTTTTGTCTTTTATTATTAAATTTTAATTGTTGATTTTTATTCATCTAATTGTTGTAATTTATTTGGTCATACTTATTAATTAATTATTAATTTCTAATAAATCGCAATCAAAGATTAAAATTTGATAATAAGAAAAATAATAATAACTATAATCTCTTTCTTGTTTTAATGATTATTATTCACGAGGAAGGATCCGTTGACAAATTTTTTTTACAAATTTTTTCAAATTGCACTAGTGGTTCTCCCGGGAGAAGATAGTGCGACTAGTATTCTCTCGGAAGAAGATAATATAATTTGTAAGAGTTTGTAAATAAAAAAGTTTATAAATATAATTTGTCCCATTATTTATTATTGTTGTTATTGAAAGTAAAAAGAGGGCCTTGAAGGTCGTAGCATGTGAGAGGGGAAAAACAAAAAATTTTCGCAAGCGGAGTACACATGCATATCAAGATACATACTTTAAGACGTATGTCATACCTTGTTCGTGAAAAACTCAAGACGATCAAAGGTAGGTCTGAAGGGTTCAAACCCTCTAACGTTGATCCACACCACCTGCGTCTAGATACAGAAACTCCTTCCAGTAAAGCCGCCAATTGATCACCACAAAGAGGCTTGCTATTCGCTCAATGTGTGATGAGAGGAGGCTATGTAAAAGTGTTTGGAAGAGTGAAGTTTTCTGAGAGAAAACCTCACAAAAGTGGCGCAGGAAATTAGGAGAGAATGGCTTGGTTGGTTTTCTAAAAACCCTAGAAGGAACATATATAAAGAGGCGCACAAGAGGAGCCTATTTGTTAAAAACAAATCAGATTTTTAATCAATAAAAATCCCTTCCAAGAGGGCGCTCCATCAAAGAGAGAGAGAATAGGATTTGTTGCAAATCAAATCTCATCAAATCTTGCCAACAACATCCTATCATATCTTTATGATATATTACGTTCAAAACCTAATCAAATATCTGATCATAAATCATCATATAATCAGTTATATGGTGCGCCCCATATGGCCGAAATAATGACCAAATACATTTGAGTAATCAAATCACTCAAATATTCTCTCAACAGATTGTATATTCTGGAGCTGATACTGATGACTAATCATCAGCCATATTAGCGCCCCATATCTCCTTGGATTATGTCCAAGAGATTTTCTCTTGTTATGTTCCAACAAGATCTTATCTTGTCTTTTTCAAACAAGATCTTATCTTATCCTTTTTCGTAATGAAACAATTTTCATAGCCAATTCTAATTTAATTATTAAATTCAAATATTAAAATATTCAAATTTAAACTTTCAAACATTCAAATTCAAAATTCAAAATTCAAAATTCAAATTTCCAATTCAAAATTCGAATTTCAAAATTCAAATTCAAAATTTAAATTTCAAAATTTAAATTTTAAATTCCAAAATTCAAAATTTAAATGTTTGATAATTAATTAATTTAACTAATTAAATTAATTAGTAATGACTTGGACTATCCAAGCTCATTACATTAACCATGCGCCCTCCACCCCTTTAGGTGGAGTTCCAAACTACTTCTTGGGCTAATAACTATTATAAGGCCCAATACTTTTAATGCTAGAGCATCTAGACAATTAGGTGTTTGTGTGTGACCCATTAGGTCCAACATAGCCACTGACATAAATGGGCTTGGGCCCAATAAGCCCACAACCCATATAATGACAACACAGAGCACTAGCAATGCTTTGTTGCCCCAGAACTAGTTAGATTAATGATTTGATCATCCTATTAAACATATTTGGTTGCCGTATGTTTGTCCCTTCGTCTCGGTTACCTTCCCATAAAACCTAGGGTAAAGAAACGTATTATCCCTTGCGGTTTAGGGTTAGCTTTTTATGAAATAGGGAGTCTTCAATTTACTGACTCTAAAGGCATATCATCTTATGATCTCTTTTACTATGCATAGATTCTCGAGTCACTGTAAATGTCATCCCGATTTCTCCGGTTTAAGGATAACCTAATCTCTCACAGAGATTTGACGAATTCCTTCAGCTTATCACCCTAGCCCTGTGCCCTATCAGGACAAGCCCAAGAGCATACCTATGAATCTCCATGTTTCAGGCAGACGAGGTATACAGTCAAAGCATGCCTTCTAGAACACAGTCTAAGTGATAACTTCTGGTTTAAGGAAAGACATACCCAAATATAAAGAGACTACTCTAATGATACTATCTGTGAGATTTCCTCATAGAGTCTCTTTGTGGGTCCGTTCAGTGCGAGCTATACTCTTATAGGTCCATCCACGACTTTAGCTAAGACATCTCTATATCTGTAGCACATGAGGTCTATACCTTGTATCCATATACAAGTAGATAAGCCATGCTAGTCTTACCCGAGATTACTGACCTCATTCTCAGTATCTCTAGACTAGGAACATAATATTAGGAATAATCATCCGGTATTCTTGAATCCTCATGATCGTGATCTCATCACAGATATTCAAGAGATACTTATTTTATTCCACGGGGTTTATCAAGTTATTCATAATATATTAACATTAATATTGAGACAGAATTATGAAACAAGATAAAGAGTGCTTTTATTTATTTGCGACAATATTAAAAAGGTCTACATCTATGTCCTTATTTAATCATAAGATTTAGGACACCCAAATACTAACAAGCTCCCACTTGGCCTAGAGCCAATCAGACCTAAGTCGTATACCTAAAGCCTCACAATGACTATCATGTTTTCTCTGAGAAACAACCTTTGTCAGAGAATCGGCTAGGTTATCATCTGTGGGAACATAATCCATCTTTACATACATCATATCAATGATTACTCTAATCAGGTGATATCTGCGGAGCACGTGTTTAGATCTTTGATGAGACCTAGGTTCCTTTGACTGCGCAATGGCTCCAGTGCTTTCGTAAAGCTACTGTATGGGCTCATCTGCGCTTGGAACCACCCTTAGTTCAGATATGAACTTCTTGATCCACATGGCCTCCTTAGCCGCTTCTGAAGCAGCTATGTATTCAGCTTCTGTCGTTGAATCTGTTGTTGTCTCCTGCTTGGAACTCTTCCAAGATACTGCCCCACCATTTAAGGTGAACACGAACACTGATTGTGACTTACAGTCATCTTTGTCACTCTAAAAGCTGGCATCAGTGAACCCTTTCACTGAAAGCTCATCAACCCCACCATAGACCAGAAACGCATCCTTAGTTCTTCTTAAGTACTTTAAGGATGGTCTTAATTGTTGTCCAGTGACCCTCTCCAGGGTCAGACCGGTATCTGCTCGTAATGCTTAAAGCATATGAGACATCTGGTCTCGTACATATCATGGCATAAATGATGGATCCAATAGCCGAAGCGTATGGAATTCCACTCATGCGATCCTTCTCAGGTTGTGACTTAGGACACATAGCCATTGAAAGATGTACCCCATGACTGACGGGAAGAAAACCCCTTTTCGACCCTTCCATGCTAAACATCTTTAGCATCTTGTCAACATACGTGGATTGAGATAAACCCAGCAGCCTATTGGATCTATCTATATAGATCTTTATACCAAGTATAAAGGCCGCTTCTCCCAAATCCTTCATGGTGAGGCTTTTGAAAGCCACTCTTTCGTTATTTGTAATGTGGGGATGTCATTTCCTATTAACAATATGTCATCTACATAAAGTACCAGGAAGACGACATTACTCCCACTAACCTTCTTGTAAACACAAGGTTCATCCTCGTTCTTGATAAAACCGTTACTCTTAACGATACCCTTTCGCCACCTACCTAGCTTTGTAGGTCTGAATGTTGCCATCTGCATCAGTCTTTCTTTTAAAGACCCATTTGTTCCGATAGGAACTATTACTTGTGGTTTAGGAACCAAGGTCCATACCTTGTTTTGATACATCGAATCCATTTTAGATTCCATGGCTTCGAGCCATCTAGAAGAGTCAACATCCTTGACTGCCTCTTCGTAGTTACTTGGTTCATCATCCTCGACGGTTTGCTGATTCTCAATCACAAACCCATACCTCTCAGGTGGATGGATGACCCTCGTCCTTCTACGGAGTTGTGTGTTTACTTCTCCATTGGAGAACGTCGCCTGCGGAGCAGACTCGGGTTCCTCAATCTATTCTTGTGGTTCTTGTACTTCTTCAAGATCAATCTTACTTCCACTGGCTCCTTGAGAGATCAAATCCTTCTCAAGGAACTCAGCATTCCTGGACACAAACACCTTGTGTTCATTCTTGGAGTAAAAGCAGTATCCCTTAGAACCTTGGGATACCCCACAAATAGACTTTTAGTACTCTCAGCACTAAGCTTGTCTGATGCCAACGCTTTGACATAAGCCAACGATCCCCATACCCTGAGGTAACTCAGGTTAGGTCTCTTACCGTACCATATCTTGTATGGTGTGGTCTGAACAGATTTAGACGGTACCCTATTTAGAAGGTATGCCGTTGTGTCTAAGGCATATCCCCAAAACAATTTTGGAAGTTGAGTCTCACTTATTATAGACCTAACCATGTCTAACAAGGTCATGTTTCTCCTTTCGGAGACACCATTTTGGTGTGGTGTGTAAAGTGCAGTAAACTGCGAGAGAATTCCATTTTCTCTTAGATAATCCTGAAACTCATGGCTCAGATATTCACCACCATGATCTGATCGCAATGACTTAATCATCTTGCCACGCTGTTTCTCTACTTCATCAGTAAAGGTAATGAAATAGGAGTATCCTCCTCTAGCCTCAATATTGGATTTAGTGTTTGTAATTTTAAATAACGTGAAGTTATATGATTTTAAGTGATAGAAAGACATAAATAACTAAAATTATGGGAGAGAAAATATATTTTTTTAAATTTAAATTTTAAATAAAAAATATTATGTTATATTTTTTTCTCTTTTAAAATGATATAATTATATGTTTAAGGGAAAAGTTATATGTTTAAGGGAGAAGTGTTTGTTATTCTAAATG